AACATATATACCAGCCAAAGAAATCGAATGCGTTGCGGTTAGCCTCAGTCATTTGCCAGAGCTCGTGACGGGTTAGCTTATCCGGCACTGTACGTGCGTACTTACTGAACATGTTCTCCAGATTCGCAGGAATGTACCTGAAGAGAAGAACATTTCCAACCCAAATTTTATAATCATCATCACAAGTCCAAACAAGACAAGTATCATGGATTGAGAGACAAACCTTCCTTCTGTGTCGTAAGTTGAGGTGTCGCTTCCATGTTTGGCTCTGTGGATGTTTCTGATGTAAATCGGAAAGCTAAAAGAAGGCATCCAAGTCTGGTTCAGCATAAGAGACAAGACAAGACATTTTGAGTTTGAGGAACCACAGGAAATACTCAAAATTGAGATTGTTGATGAGAAACTTACAGGTAATGTGGCGTAACTCATTGTAAGATGCACAATGATTGTTAGAAAGAAACTAGAGATGACGTTGAAACCAAGTGCTCTAAATCCTCTAAATGTTTCCCCTGGGTAGATGATACCATCACCGTCCTGGTCAAAGAAAGCAACGTGCTGCTGAAGAACAGACATGTCCTGGTGCTTGTGTCCCCTTGTCCCGTTTACATTCTCCATGTCAGGTGCAACCATCGCTCGAGGCACATCTGTTTTCAATCCACCAAACATTTATCTGAATGATCGATCATTAACCAACAAAATGATACATACAACCAATTCAATCCGATTTCGAGAATTTGTGAATGATCGATCATTAACCAACAACTTTGATATCAGCTTCTATCACTAATTAATAACTAGAAATGCTCGAACGGAACCGTATGATTGATCAGAAAAATATGCAAAGATCTGATTCTAATTTTGGAAACCCTAACACGCGAAATAGAGAAACTGGAAGAAGAGAAAAAAAATCAAGAGACAGAGAAAATGCAGGTAGGTACATGGCTTGGGGAGACGATCGTCGAGATCAGTACGGACCTTCCTCTCCGCCGTGACCGGAGCTTTCTCAGCCACCGTCGCAATCGAGTCTGCTCCTGCGTCTGTGGACATGGCTGTTAATTCCTCTGGTTCTCTGTCTTGTGGTGGGAGAGTAGAGAGGCTTTGTTTGTGGGTTTATAAAGAGATCTGATCTGATTGCAACTGCTTCCAAAGAACTCGCGGGAGTTGCTTCGTCTTGAATCAGCATTCTCCTATTGACACGTTTTCCACTTACCACGTGTTTCCATGACTAAGCATTTTTCCGACTTTTAATAATAGTACTAGATTTTATATCCACGCGTTGTTTATCGAT